CCTCGCCTGTGTCGGGAATCTTGCAATCTCGTCGGCGCTCTGCCTGACAGGGAGAAACCCGATCGCGCCCTGACTCAGGCCCAATCTCCGCGATCTCCCGCGCGCTGCCGGCCTGCAGGGCGTGGCACAGGGCCGGGGCCTGGGGTGGGCGCGGGCGGCGCTGGGTCGTGGAGTCTTTCTCGTCTGGCCGCCAGCGCGCCTTACCCCACCCCTACCCGGACCGCCGGTTCCGGTTCGCGCTCTGGAGATAAGAAGTGGACCAACTTCTGGGATTTGGTTTCAGTTTGGCGCCTCCCAGAAAGATATTGCACCTAATAACAGTTGAATAGTCTTTTTTATATTTCACAGGAAGCAGCTTTATGCCAAGACGAAAGTAGTTTTTGTTGCCCTTATTGTAGTGAAATTATGTTTTCGAAAGGCCCAAGGTGATGTCACTCAGGCCTCTTGTATAAAATATTTAGTGGTGCCCACCCTCGTGGCGCAGGGGGTTAAAGTGCAGACCTGTGAAGCTGCCCCCAGCCACCCCAGCATGAGTTCGATTCCCACCCAGGGAGCTAACCCCACTGGGCAGACCTCTCCTGACCCGCCCACTGCTCCCCTCAGCAGTGTACTTCCTCAACCTGCCTGTTCTGCTCCCCACTCTGTCTCTGGTGAATCCTCTCACTGCCCCTACACCTCTGGCCTGTACCCCAGCTTTGTATGCATAAATCAATCTTTAAAAAAATATTTAGTGGGCAGTTGTATTTATGGATTTGGATCTTTGATAAAACTGGGCAGGAGATAAAGTTTTGAAAGTTAATTTAAGAAATACGGAATATCACAAACACTTTATGCTTTGCATGTAGTATTTTTTTTTCAAGGTTTATTTTATTTATTTATACATAAAAGAGCTGGAGTGTAGGCCAGAGGTGCAAGGGGCTGGGAGGAGTATATGTGTGAGAGGATTCAGCAGAGACAGAGTGGGGAGCAGAACGGGGGACTGGCTGAAATACACTGCTGAGGGAGCAGGGGATGAGACAGGAGAGGTCTGTTGTGCCATGTGGAATGTCCAGGGATTGACCTTGTGCTCAAGCACTGCTGGAGCTTCACAGTGCTGCACTTTATTTAACCCACTGCAACACCAGGGAGGGCCACACTTGTTTTAAAATATTTCCACAGCTTTTTATAAATGACTGTTGAAATACTGACATTTGAATCACGGTTAAGTCCAATAACATCACAGCATGAAGTATCTAAATGATACTGTATTTTGTATGGAGTACCAAGCAGAATTAAGCCTAACTCACAGTGACAGATTTTGTTTAGTAGCTTTTGCCTTGATAAAGAACAAGAGATATGAAAGCAATCATACTGTATGTGCTGTTTACCATCTTCATTTCTATTCTACAAAATAGTTACTTTTTTTGATTAGCTGGAGTAAAGGCGGAAGAGATACGTAATAATCAAATACAGACAAATAAATAATTACAAAGCTGATCACTGAAGTGAAGGAAAAAAACAGTTTATTGCACAACCAGGGTTTCTGACCTAGGGAAGGTGGGGGAAGAAAATCAATTATTTTCTTCATAAATGATGCAAATGTTGAGACCTGAGTAGTGACTATCAATTTTAAGTTAGGTAAAAGTTGGGGTTGGGAAAGAAGAATATTGTATTAGAGGAAACAGTATTTGAAAAACTATGAGGTTAGACAGTTGAGGGACACTGTAGTTAGAGCTAATTGCATGAGAAGTGATTTGAAACGTACGGAAGAATTAGCACACCTAATTTTCTTTATCCTTTGGATCTCAGGAGCTGACCCACATGGTACAGCAGATCTTTCCTGTTCTTTCCTCCTGCTCCCCTCAGCAGTGTGTTTCAGTAGATCTCCCTGTTCTGTTCTCCACTCTGTCTCTGGTGAATCCTCTCACCACCACCCTGCCCCCCACTTATGACCCTATATACCCCAATTCTTATCTATATATATAATAAAAATAAATCTTAAAAAAAAATGTTACTGTCTCAAAGTGGTTGTCCCTGGCTATCTATTCTGAATCAGGGTTTTCTGTGACAATTGTTTTTATGTCACCCTTTACTTTTCCTTTGTAACATGTGTGATCTTTGGTTAATTATACCTTTGTTTAAATACAATCTTCCCATTAGACTATAAACCCCATGAAAAAATACTGGGGACCACCTGCATTATGTACACTTTTGACGTCTTATCATTCACCTCATGGGGTTAACTAAAAAGAATAGCAAGTCTAGTATACAACATGATATACTAAAACTTTGATTTCCCCCCCCCACCCTTCTGTTTATCCTAGTGTCTTGCTTTCCACGATATTTCCCCTCAAGCACCAACACATTTTCTGGTGATACCCAAGAAACCTATATCTCAGATTTCTGTAGCAGAAGATGCTGATGAAAGTGTAAGTAAATTTACTAACACAATTTATTTTCTTTTTAGTTGGGTGACTAAATTTTGTTTGATACATGTGTGATATATTTGAAATATGTTGATATTTTTGAAATAAGATACATCTTACTGGCATATTGTAAGATCAGGAGTTGGAATACTTTGGGAATGAATCAGCAAAAAGTACAAATTAGAAATAAGGCCCTCCTGGTGGCACAACCAGTTAAAGCCAGCACTCAAGCCAGCCCAAAGGCAGCACTCAAGCCAGCCGCAGCCGCTTCAGCTTCAGTATGTGTTTGGTCCCTGCCCAGGAGCTGACCCACATGGCAGCAGACCTCTCCTGTCTCGCCCGCTGCTCTCCTCAGCAGCGTACTTCGTCGATCTGCCTGTTCTGTTCCCTACTCTGTCTCTGGTGAAGCCTCTCACTGCCCCTACACTCTAGCCTGTACCCCAGTTCTGTATACATAAATACATAAAATCTTTAAAAAAAAAAATTAAAAATAATTGAAGTTCTAGTTAGTGAGAAGTTTTTAGAAGGGTGATTTGTCCAAAAACACTGTAGGCGTATACTAAAAGAAAAGACACTAATATATGAAATCTCAAATCAAAATAAATTGTGTCTACACAAATTAGATACCACAAACTCCATGTTATATAACTTACAGTGAACTCTGATTCTTGACCAAAAATAGATGTGCTTAGCTGCCTAAAACTTTGGTTAGTAAGTCCACATATCACAGCAAAAGTTGGCAATTTATGCCCTGTGGGCGAGAGCTCAGCAGCAGCTCTTTTTGTAAATAAAGTTTTATTGGAACACTCATTTCATGTTGAATTCTTGTTGCTGACTGCTTTGGGGCTGTAAAGGTAGAGTTGTTTTGATTTTTTTCATATCAATTCAAGAGAGGAGCATTTAAGATAGATGATTTGAAGAATTGTATTTGCCCTTTTCCTCTTAAAAGCCAAGATCAAACATTCAGCTATTAAATGTTCACTCTCAGCTAGCCACATGTCTAAAGGGAGGGCATCTTCAACATTTTGAAGTCTTACGTTCTACTTTTTTTAATTTTTTCAGGAATTGCCCTACTGTTTTCCATGGTGGCTGCAGCAGTTTATAAGCCCACAAACAGTTACACTAGGTTCCCATTTTCAATATTTTTGTCAACAGTTGGTATTTCTTGTCTTTCTTTGATACTAGCCATTCCAAAAGGTATGAGATTGTAGTTTTGATTTGCCCATTGTAGTTTTGATTTGCATTTCCTTGATTATTGATGAACAGCTTTTCGTATGACTGTTGGTTATCTGTGGAAAAACTATTCATTTTCTTTGCTCATTTTTTAAATCAAGATAGCTTGCTTTTTTGCTATTGAACTGTATGAATTTTTCATATATTTTGGATACTATACCTTGTTAGATACATGATTTGCAAGTATCTTCTCATTTGTTAGTTTGCTTTTAGCAACTTTATTATGGTGAATTCAAACAAATAGAAGTAGGGAAAATAGTAAGATGAACCATCCAGCTTCAACATTTATCAGTTTATCAGTCCTGATTAAACTTAACAAGTGTGTTAATGAGTTAAGACATGCTTAACTCATGTCTTCTCTTGCCCCTCACTTTTTTTTTCTGTCTAGCCATTTGATGTGATTTGGTGAGTGGGATCCTTGGGTCCCTCTGAGAAGGATTTCGGTAGACTCCCCATTCAGTGGCACAATGCATTTCTTTTATTCAAGGAAAAAGACAAAAAAGATGTTTGCATAGACACAAATAGGCAAAGGCTGTTTTTTAAGAAAAGGAGATGCCTGCACAGACACAGGCAGGTAGTCTGGGACAATATCTGTACTTTGCCACTCCTTTTTTAGAAGCAAATCCAAGATATACCACTTTAGGGTGATAAGACGGATAACTAGTCTCCATATCAAAAAGTGAAACTGAACCATAGCCTCATATTTTATATTAGAGAATATCTTTATGAGCTTGGTATAATTTATAAATGAAGAAGGTTGGTTATTTGAGTGCATTTAATGTTGAGAACCAAAAAACTTCATAAAGAGAGTAAAAAGGCAGACAGCAGACCAAAAAAAAGTTATTTATCACCTCTGATAAGGTAGGGAAGGCAGAGAAAGTAGTTGAACAGTGACTTCCTAGACTTAGGGAGAGTACAGGGTAGAGTATTGTTTCCATTTTTTTTTTTCTTCTGGTAGGTATTTAAATATTTGCTTTATCACTACTCTTTAAATTATTCATATATATTTTTATTTCATCTGGCTGTAGTACTTCAATAATTTTTTTTTAATATTGAAATTAAATGAATCTTTTGTGTCTTCAGTATTGTAATATTTACTTAGGGTAGTGTTTTAAGTGAGTTACCGTTTCTGAAACCTAGAAACTTTAGAGTATTTTTTAATTCAGAATATGCATAAAAATCAAAGTTCAATGGGTAGAATACTTAATAGTAAAATACCGCCTTACCAACAATAACAGAAAGGTAAAACCTCAAAATGTTTAACATTGAGTGTAATTACACAGTCATGGCATTTTAAGGTAAGAGTTTCTTTCAAATGCCTGTAAAAGGAGATAGATAGCATGTTAACTTTTATTTAGTTAACTTTCTAAATTGGAGTTTTAAGATCAGCGATTAGACAGAAGATAATTTTTTTGCTAGAAAAGACTAATAAGCTTTAAAACTGATAACTCAGTTTGATCAGCCTAGGTATGTTATATACAGTTTTGAAACTTTAAAATTGATAACTTTTTGTCATTTCAATTTTTATTTATTTATAAATTTTTAAAAAAGATTTATTTATTTATGTACACAAGAACGGGGGTACAGGCCAGACATGCAGTGGGTGAGAAGATTCACCAGAGATGGAATGGGAGCAGAAAAGGCAGGCAGATTGAAGTACACTGCCTAGGGCAGCGATGGCTAGGTCTGGAGAGGTCTGCTGCACCATGTGGGTCAGCTCCCTGTATAAGGCAAATATTGTGGTTCTTTTGCTTGATTTAAATAGAAAAATCAAGTTTCTCCCCAAATTATGAATAACATGCATATCAAAAGAATAAATGAAATTTCCATACAAAAAGGGATCCAAGCAAAGTTTAGTCAATTACCATATATCCAGCAATTCTACTTTCAGATAATTATCTGAAGAAAGCAAAAACAGCAACTCAAAAAGATGATGCACTGCCATGCTCTCTGCAGCATGATTTATAATAGCTAAGATATGGAAGCAAACTGAGTGTTCATCCCATTTCTTTTATTAATATCTTATAATTTTTCAGTGTACATAAACATGGTTAAATATGTTCCTAGGTTCTTTATATTTTATATACAATTATAATTGAGACTTTTTCTTAGAAATTTCCCTTTTGTATAATAATGCAACAGATGTTTGTATATTGAGTTGTGTCCTGCAACTTTGTTCAATGGGTCCATTAGTTGTAGTTGTTTTTGAGTTGAGTCTAAGGTTTTTTATATTTAATGTTATGTCATCTGCAGATAGTTTTACTTCTAATTTTCTGTCAACTTGTGGTTTACTCAATATTTGACTTGGTAGTTTATTATTTAATGGCAATACTGTACATTACTTGTGGTTCACAAATTTTTTTTTCTTCCCCAGCTTCTTGGACATTTAATGATTGTTGGCAAGAAATGTGCTGCAGATCTGGGCCTGAAGAAGGGTTATCGTATGGTGGTGAATGAAGGTTCAGATGGGGGTCAGACTGTCTATCATATTCATCTCCATGTTCTTGGAGGTCGGCAGATGAATTGGCCTCCTGGCTAACATGTTTTAGGGATGGTTTTTTCTTCTATAGGCATGATTAAGTTTGGAAGTTCCACATGTATTGCTGAACAATACACTTAACTTCTGCCTACATATAGATTGAGGAAATAATGTTAAATACCCCATCCACAATAAAAGATACCATTGAATGACTCATGATCTTTTGAATTCTCTATTATTTAAAAAAATGTATTTGTTGGAATTTGTGAAGGTGATTCCTTATTTTTTCTCCCCACGGAGGGTCCAACACATGAACATAATCAAAATAGAATGACTGATCTTTGAAGATAAATTACAAGGTTTCATAGCTATAGGTTTAGCTTTGAAAGTACTAGTGAAGATTTTCTAATGCTTATGTTGTAAGAGCAAAGAAATAAATAATGTGTTTCATCTGTACTGTTAGGATCATTTGGAAGAGGTGCTATAGACTTGTCTCAGAATCTTTGATGACCATGTAAAACCACAGATTGGTATTCCCTTGTTACCCAAATTCTGATTATTACAAAGACTTGAAAATATTTTACTTAGAATTCATTTTCCAAATTAAAAACTCACTGTTTTGAATGTACCTATGCACACTAGCAAAAAGATTTAAGTTGCATATGTATCTGGTGGGGGTTGAGGGGAAATGTTAGTCTGAATTTTTTTTAAAGATTTTTATAAAAAAGGCCCTCCCTGGTGGCGCAGCGGGTTAAAGCACAGCACTGAGAATCTGAAGCCACTTCCGCATGAGTTCGATTCCCGCCTGCC